TGTTTGAAATTTAGTTTTTCTATTATATCATTAAACTAAAAATTGTATTAAAAATAATTAAATTTTAAAGTTTTTTAACCCTGAAGGGATGAAAAAATAAATTATACACTTTATATTATTGTTGTTTTTTTGATTCGAACATTTTTTTCCTTTACAATAACTTTAAATTTTCAGTAATTTCTGATTAAATAAGTTTCTTATCTTTAATCGATTACCCTGTATATTGTTTTATATCTAATTAATAATATTATAAATCATTAACTTATACAAGCATTATATTCTTTATTTAGTACATCTGTAATTACATAGATATATTTAAAATGAAAAATTGCTTTGATTATCCCGTTTATTGTTACGTTTTAGCTAACTGAAAGAATATTTTTATTTTAAACATATTATACAGTTTTTATAAGATCTATCCTAAATAATAGAACTGAATAAAAAAATTAGAATTAAAGTGCTCTTCTATCAGTTGTTGTAGGTTTCATATCTTGTACTTGATGTATTTTTAGTTTTATAGCTTTATATATTCATGATTTATATATTACAATATAACCTGTCATCATATATTAACACTTATGATAATAGTTTTACTTTTACTAAAATGTACTATAGAAATTAAAAATTCAAGTTCATCATTCTCAATTCATTTATTTTATAAACAGTAATAACTATATTCAAAGTTTTATCCTAACATATATTGGGATATATTACTTTGAAATTCTTACCGTTAACTTACTATAGGGTCAGTATAAAAAACTTTAGGCTATCACGTAATAAGGTTATCATGGTTGTTTCAATTAATCACCAATAAGTTAAAATTATAGATAAAATATTTTCCTATATTTTAAAAGAAACAAAAAATTCAACTTTAAAATTTGATAAATAATCAATATTAATCTTCCAAGTAGTTGATAATTTTAGTACGTCAAACATTCAGTGGTGACATCATGAACATATCTTTTTATTGCAATAGCCAAACCGTGTTAGTATGTTTTCGTTTTAAAGGCAAATAAAACGGTTATATACACATGAATATTGCTTTTATAAATGTATTAATATTTTATTAAAAGTTCTAATAAATAATAACTATCTTTATTAATTACTTTTACTTATATTTCAAATTTATATAGTTCTATGTACAACTATTGTACCAATTATTGACACAGGTTTACCTTTGTCAATAATGAGTGAATTCAACTCTTAAAAGATATATTTTTGTTATACTCAAATTTAAATTCTTCAAAAATATCTAACATAACATTGCATTCAATACTTAACAAATTTTTATGATATTTCTTTTCTCTTTCCGTGGAATTATTTAATTAAGTGAATAAAGTTGACATCCTATTTTTATTTTATTTTTTTGGATTTAATATTACTTTTAACATACTTGTAAAAAATTAACTCTGCCTCGTTAAAATGAGTTCACTAATTAAATTCATACTTTAAATTTAAGCTAAAAAAACAAAAATCAATCAAAATGTAAATTTTAAGTGAATTAAAAATTCTAAAAGTTAGCATTTAAGTGTTTAGTTATCTTATCCTACAGTATTTTTATTTAAATAAATGCGTAATCAATAGAAATTAAGTCAGAATAAAAACATTTACATTTAAATACAAGAGAACATTATTTTAAAAAAGTTATCTGATTAATCCGTAGAGTACTTATGTTGCAATCGAGAGAAAATTTATAACTTTAATAATAAATGGTAGACAGTTTTAATAATTCAAAGTACATATTATTTATAATTTTGTTTTTAAATGCTGTATTATATTTTTTGTTATTTGTTACATCATAGTCATTTTCATAAAATCTCACCACACCAAAAATAACCGTGGTTATTTTAGAAAATTTAGGACACTGCTTATCTGAGGCCAGAAATAGTGTTTTTTTTTGTATAATTTCAAATATTGCAATCGCATGCAAATATGCTAATCTACTTCCTCTCCTTCAGGGTAATCTTAAAAGTTAATATGTGCGATTTCCAAAGTAAATTTAAGTCGTCTTTGATTTTCTCTGTATGTGTCATCAAAACATGTAATAATAATTGATATAGAACTGTGTAAAAACTTTAAGTATAAACATGTAATTTGCAACAGATTGTTGAACCGTGATCAAGAGTTAGCAATCAGATCGAAAGTCATTTAACACTGAGACATTCTCCCATTGTAGTTGTCCATACAAATAAAATCTTGAATTATATTAAATGTTCTACATTAATGTAAAAAAAATATGTAATACAATTCATGTGTTACAAGTTAGTCGTAATAACTGAAATACAATCCTATGTTAGCTTCGTGTAGTATTTATTGAAAAAATAAATATTATTATATATTAATATCTTTATTTAACTGATTATAGGTTATTTCCCATACTTAGCAATTTATAAAGCATGACCATCTAAATTTCCCTTAAAAATTATTGATGATTTATCCAGAAAAAATTTTTTTTATAACAATATTTGCATAAAATTTCGAAACGCAATTAATGTTTAAAATTCCACTTGTGATTTTCAATAATTTCTGATGATTCTTCAAAAACAGTAATTATAATTTTTTAAAAATTACAATGTCAATATATCTGCAGAAATGCGTCGTATATATTGAATTGACTCCTTTTTTTTTGTTTTTGAACTTGGTATTAAAAATTAACCGAACAACTGTAACATAAAATAACAAGGCGTTTCAATTAAAAAGAAATCTGATATAATTCTCTATGGTTTCTGAAGCGATTAATTTCGAATTTAAATTTGTATAGCTACTCTGTATTAATAAATCTTTATTTGATGGCATTAAATTGATTAATTGATTAAGAATTTAATTATTCGTAAAGCTTTCATTCGAAATAATATTAAAATATTTATACTTACTTTTATCGTTTGTAAAATAAAACTGATTACAAAAAAAATATCAATTAATCGAGTTCTAAGAATCGAAATCGGTAAACTATTTATACTCTATTTACAAGTTTAAATATGTGCAGAAGTTAGTTACTTCAGTTGATTTGAATGACTAAAAGTAAAGAAAAATGAAACTGTCTAAGCGGTTCTATGATTTTAAATACCTCCCAGGCAGATTATGTCTTGCTCGTCTAAAAGTAATTACACATGTAAAAGCCTAATTTGTTTCTAAAACAGATAGTGTCTGATTTAGAATAGAAGTTATTCGTCTTGGATCGTATTTAATGATTTAATATTTGTTCGTATAAAACAGTTACAGAAATCATTTCATTTCATTACGCTGTCTAATATGACGTGAAGAACATCAGTTCGCCCGTCTTATTTCTTCTTATGTGAAAGGTATGACACTTATTATTATGCTGATATACCAACCGAACAAAACGCCATGCAAATCGTATTCACTCTCTTAAGTTTTTTGAACTTTCTCGTCGGTCTCGGTCGACCGATTACACTCCACGGGAATAATATTAATTACATTGAACCGAACAATATTTATTATAATTTGAATGAAAATTCCATTTCTCGATATGATTATATATCATTTATGTGTATGCTGCTTTATATCGTATCGCCGAGATAAGGTTATCATATTATAATAGTATCATATACATACAATATTGGCTAACGTCAACGTGGAGGCATACCCACACGCGTTATCATCGTTGTCAGTTAGTCACGTTCTCATTGGTAATTTTTTCTCTCTCTCTCATTTTCTCTCCCTTCTTTCCAATGCAAAATGCGAAAATTTTTCCCCTTCGATATTACCGGGTTTGTATGCACGTGTTTAACCGTAGCAGCGTCGTCACGACCTAAGTCGGATAGACTTTAGATAGCATCCTTAAGAATCGCGAACAACATTAAACGACCATGTCCCCAAAGTGTTACGAGTGTATAGGCAATTTTTTTATTAACCATCATCCATTCCAACCTCTTCCATTATCGTATTGCTTTCTTGACTATAAATCGGTCATGCATTCAACGCCAGTCGATGAAATAACATTATCCTGTAAAATATTACTAACCGTATGAGCACGTTCATCAATCACTGAGGTTATTACTGATAAACGGCTGGACGATTACATCAAAGATGTAAAACTGTAATGAAAAAAATGTATTTTCTTACGTTTGGCGGCGAAAATGTTGGCCCACCCACACCTACGGCGCCAACTCACCTCTAAGTGTGGGCGAACGCATTTCTTTACAGCATCGTGCACACTACACATCTGTGGTGTTTTATTAGATTAACGAATTCAATAGCCAAACTCTGCTTCTATTGTCTATAGCAGAAACCCTCGAGAATCGTTTAACTTAATATTTAATCACATGCAGTTCTTAACAATACAAATGAAAAGATGATTTGAAAAACGTTAAAACTTCATACTTTTGAAAATTAATTTGTTGAACATAAATAATATTTTGATTTTATATGAATTATTTATGAAAGATTGTTAGATCAATAAATCAATAAAAGGTAACTAATACCTCCACATTAACGTTCATATTGCTATTTACTAGTGTAATCTATGAGCATTTTGTAAAATTAATGCAGCACTTAAAGCTGAAATGACAAAAATTAATTTTTAGATAATTAAATTTATATGCTGAGAAATACTAACTTATCAATAGTAGTTTTAGTGAATCGATGAAAAATATGTTTAAAAATATGATCATAGATCCAATTGAAAAAATAATATTTTATTAAGTTTTGGACTTATTTTTCCAAAGTATCAATTGACCTATTCAGCTCAAGGGGAAAAATCAGTTTATTTAAAAAAAAACAATATACTTACCACAAATTCAAACTCATTCACACTTTATTATCACACTTAAAAGTATTACAGTTTTATTCTAAGGAAAATATTAATACATAATACACATATTAGTAGAATAATGACAGTCACTTTGAATTTGAACTCTATAATAAGTTTAACAACAGCCATATCAAAATAAAATAAATTATTTTAAAAATTAAAAATTAAATTTAAATATAAACGTCTAAAAATAGTTTAATATAAATAATTATTTTACACACAATTAAATATTATTTTATAAACAATCTTGATATTTTTATCGTCTTCAATGTTTGATATGTTGATGATAAACAGCATGTTGGGTAAAAAACATTCGTATTTTTGGTATCCAACATTGTAACATTGATGCTTGACAATATAATTAAAGTTGTTCGTTTTTCTATAAAATTGATATTGTATCCAGTGTCCATGGAACCCACTTAAGAACATTAAAATAATAATATTAAAGATGTTTAACTGATTTTTTATTATTATTATTTTGATCATTGAGAAGGAACAGTTGATTTAATTTTAAAATACTATTTTTTAATAACCACTTTAATACATACTGCGCGCTGACAAGTACACCATATTAATATGTTCACAAAGTCACGAAATAAATAATGATTATTGATTTTTAATAGATTTTAATTTTTATCGATTGAATATACAGGAGATGCTGAACATAGTTTTTATTAAGGAAAGTATTACTTTACAGCCCTAGTAATTGTATAGGACATTGGTTTTATTGTTTTATCGTGACTTGATCGCACACATGGCAGTTTACTTGAAGCTTATTGAGCTATAAATTATACATTACTAGTGTATTATTATTCACATATAGATTATCAGTACAAAAATATTAATATATTACATAACGATTGATCAAGAGTTCAGCGGCGCATATTAATTCAAATTATTCTGAAAAAATGTATATTCTAAATTTTTAAGGGTCTACATATAGTGTATTGTCTACCTTTCTATTAAGCACAATAAATAAGGTAATAATCTTAATAATTAACTATTAATAGTTAATAAACTATTAATAACTATTAATAAAAAAAACTTTTCAGATTTTATATTACATTTAAATCTTACTGGAGTTTTTAATAATACAAACTTCCATGACTTTCATTGAATAAAATTTGTACATGGGAATCAAATTAATAGCAATCTTATTGTTTTAAAAACGTGTTAAAAAGTAAATAAGATATTAATATAAATTACTGCATTAACACTGGGAGACAGTTTTGAAGTACCATTAAGCATTTAATAGACTTTTCATTTCCTTCAATATAATTTCTTACCACATAAATAATTTGAACACCTAACAGAACATTTAATCTGTACCAAATGCTATCACCGGGTCTTAAACAATTCTGTCAAGTTCTTCTAGATATGCAAAAGTGTACAGCAAAACATATTACAAATTGAATAAATAAAAAGCTTTAAATTATTAGATCTCATACAATAAAAAGTATAAATTTATGAGTCTTGTTTCCTTCCTTTCCTTCTCTTTCATTCAGATCTCTTTCAAGTACACCGCCAACTATAATTTAGCTTTGACGCGAACCTGAGATGTTTATTAAACATAGTTGGCCACACATTACATTTGCATATGAGAGTTAATAGTAATGGTAATGATTTATCAAATACTCATAGTCCTCCTTCGTGTCAATTGTTACTACTGTGTTGAATTATCGATGTTTCTCTTCTTATCGAAAACTTACAATAGAGTGGAGCATAACGAATAATACATTCATAATCTCATTGGGTTTGAACCTTAAGCTGAAATGTATTGTTGTGTTTAAACAGTAACTTCTGTTCTGTCAACAACTATCTATGTACAGCTCTACGCTATCATTTTATCACAACAGCTTGTGTACTATTATCATGAATATATTTTTCTGACTGCGTAGGCGGCGTATAGTGGTGACATTGAATCGAAAATCTCGATCACCATCCAAGCCACATAAATTTTCATTTCTTTTTTTCATATTTATATTTTTTACAATACGATCGAGAGAGACTGAGAAGCGATTTCTATCAGTACACACCGTACTGATACAAACGCTTCTTTTACCGCACAGCGTTGTGTATTCGATATCGCGACGCCTCCGTATATGATGCTGTTGTTGCGGTACCCAATACAGTAACCATTGCTAGGACTGGTCTTCGCTGAACAGCCTGCAGCTAAGCATTTTAATAATATATGCTTAACTAGTGCAATAAAATAAATCTTTGGAGCTCTCACAACCATAAAACTATACCTCCGGCTTCAGTCCACATAAACTCTTATTAATTATAACTAATAAAAAACATACAAATTCAAGACTCCGTACCAATATAAACGCTTAATTGTTTTTGATTTTCAGTCACTACTTAGTGCTATTCCAGGTTATAGTTAATATACGACCGATATTTGTTTATTTATAATTATCGGCGCTTATACGAATAACTTATACCATTCCTTTTATTTTGACTACTTTCAGCGGCTGCTGTGTGTTTTCTTATTAATAAATAATAAATGAATGATACTATAATAATATAAATTCTTAATATTTTTAATTTCATCTTAACACGTGAACAAACACAATTGCTAGAGTGTTTTCAACCCAAAAAAGCCTGAAGGTTAGTTTAACGAATGAATCCTATAACTCCAAAATTAAAACTCTCATAGCCCTTTAATATACTTGTTGCCTATATAATCATGAAACTATTAGTCAACAGGTCTAATTTATATAAATTATAGTTAAATAAAAATATACTACATATACATTAGATTATTAACACTGGATATTTACAGACTTTCTTATTAGATTGATAAAATACTATTCAAGGTAAATTATATAATTATATATTTATATAAAACTTAAAATTAATAAATTTCACTGTCCATAATTTCATATAGAATTTCATGTAAATTTTATTCAATAAACTAGAATTTTTATTAAAAATGGTTAGATGAAAAGATAATTCCATTAATCAAAAAGTAACATAGGTTATAACTATTATTGGAAAATATGTTCAAATTAAATTCATTAAAGACATTGTTAGCACTAGCTATTATATAACCGCAAGCTAAATAAGGAAATTTATTGGACCAGAATATAATCATAACTCCTTCTCTGGACATGTTAGAAATAGATTCTTACAACGATATTATAAAAGTTTAATGTTAGTTTTTACAGACAGTCATCTGATTTATACTTCTTTAAACATTATCAATTTTTTTTATAACACAGAAAAATAAAATAAAATCTATTTTGATTTTTGATGAAATAGAACGACAACTAATTTGATGTTATTAAATATCTTTATTCTTCTGAATATATACATATATATATTTAGAATAGAATAACTCAACTCAAAGTAAATAATACTATATCTTATTTGGTTTTATGGTCAGATCTTCTTATAAGTCATTAAAAATCAATTCAATCTCTACTATTTGATTTTTATTCAACTGACTTGAATTGTCCAATGTGAAAACTTAGTTGACAATTTCTGCATAGGTATAAATTGAAATTACAATTAATTATTCCTCAAAAATTTCATTTATACACGTTGAGCTATATTTCCTAACAAACCGGAATACATTTATTTTATAAGTCGAACAAAAAACTATTAACTATTCGATTTTATAAAACCAACAATTCTCGCTACTTTGAATAGATACTCAATACTTAATGCTCTACATAGAAATGTATGTCTATGACTGAAATAGATTTCCTTTAAACATTTAAGCTTATTTTACACTTATGTTGAATGTAGATAATAATAAATCCATCACAGGGGGATCGCGGCACAGTGGTGACGTAGCATAGTTGGATCAAGTATGATGATATCTGACAATGATTAAAATCACTATAAAAAAAAAAAAACATTTGCAAATCTGTAGATAGTGTTTAATTTTAAAAAATTGGTGAATTATTCCAAAAGCTACATGATCTTCTAGTTCCTTATTAATATCCTGATTAAGATAAAGTATGTCGAATGAAAAAGGGATTATTAAAAAATATTATTTTTCAAAAAAATTGTGTTGATTCATACATTTTTCAAAAAGTTATAGCATAATAAAGTTAAAAATGTAAAATATAAAATCGAGAATTTTCACACAAAAATAGCATTCGGTAGCCATTTTCACCGTGAAGATAAAATAAAGTCCGAAATTTTTTTTTTCCATGATAAAGTATATTACACATTAGCTTTAATTTAAGATATATATATATTTCAATTTTTGACGTATCATGGAAAGAAATCAGTTCGGTGAGAGCTGAGAAAAAATGGTAAAAGATACAAAAAAAAACATATAATAGTAAAAGCAATACCTTCTCAGCTTCGCATCGAAGCTAAAATTAAAATATACAACAATAGTTATAAGTTGTTTTGATTATGAATATATTTACATATTATAGTTAATGGAAATTTAATAGGTTTCAAATTAATTTTTGCGTATATATATAACTAGATTTTTTTAGATTAAAGTTAATTATTACCTACTAAGTGTGCAAATGCATAAGTAAATAGCCGACGAAATTTTACGACTACTAGATTCTATACTTAGACGCTAGTTCACTTTAACATTATAATAAGTCAAAGTAAATGGTTTTCAAATCTTGTTTACAATAAAAACAAAATAGTTCAAAGTTCACTTTACGAAGGTTTAACTTTTATCGTGCTCGTGTTCTCATTAATATTTAAAACTTGATAGTTATGTGGTATATGGGCCGTGTTGATATTTTTATGATCAAACATATGACACGTATCGTTTCGTTTTTTGTACTGCTGAAAATTTATTTTAATAGATTCAGAACCTAATAAAAATTAAAAACAAGTACTTTTAAAACTAGATACATTAATTTAACGTCATTGGTGATGAGAAGTGATAATGCAATTCAAGTCATATTTTTACTGTGAACGTCAGATATCTGTGTTTTAAATATATTATGTGCAATTAGAAATTAACGCATTCTTACTGAGGAGAATCTGATAACAACTACAATCGGTTAATACTATTGAACAGGCAGTATCAGCAGGGAGTTAATATCAAGTGTCGCAAAATGGAATTCTGCCAGAAACAAAATCACAAACGTTGATATGATTTAAAGTTTTATTTTCTACTTAGCATTAGTATTATTCTCGAAATGAGACAACTCGCCATAATAATATATTACCTAGGTGTAAATATTTCAATGTTACCTAGTTAATTTATAGAACCAGAGATAAAAATGGTAAAATTGTATGTTGTAAATATGTTCAATTAAAAATAATTTTGCTTCAAAATTAGCCAACATTATAAAAATGATCCCTTTGAGTTAACAATACAGTGAACTTTTTACTTTCGTAAACAAGTGCACATCGATATATTTTTAAACAACAATTAATAAGTCTACATATTACAGCCTATAAGCTTATAATTATAAATGAATCAAATTTCCAATCCAAAATGTAAAAGCCAAACAAAAATCCACATCCGATTGATACTAACTTGTTATAATGAATTAAGACATATAAACATTTTCTTCTATTTAATAATAATAAAATTTATATTTTATTGAAAAAATTTTAATTTCATATGTATTAATACATAATTTTATATATATTGAATTAAAAATTTTATCAAAAATATCAATCAAGATTGATAATCGCAATGAATAGTATGTAACCACTAATCAACTACCTACACGTAAGCTGTCGGATAAGTGTCTAATAAACACGTTAGAAACATCTCTTATCATCATTTGCCATCACATTGACCATCGAATTTTAATTATTAATACATCTTGATACTCCTACGTATTTTTATTGGGTGCATTTAATGAAGCATATGTGTTATTCATGCCATACTAGTTTACATGCATCAAATTCAATGCAAGTGCATTGTACCATTTTTATATGTATCGATATACCAAGTTGTAATAATTGTAAGCGACTCTTTATCAGTCAAATTATTTCACCTTTTGTCTGTAGAATGTTCGATATATCAAAGCCACCAAAAGTCATCGATAGGTAAGTGTAAACTACATTCCCATTATAGATCTTAACTAATTTATCAACAATTAATGACCAAAGAACTTGGTATTTACATTAATAACAATGTCTTATAAAATATCTATTCACTCTCTTGTCTTAGTAAGGGTTATTAAAAAGTCTATAAGCCAATAGGTCTCTCATCTTCTGATCAAATACTGATTAGATACCCATAATGAACATTATTAAACTATCTGAGCTAATATTTTGTGCTGATCGCGTTATTACGCACAAAATTACATACAACAATCTATGCCTAATTACTGTAAGATAATAACAATTAACTGTATTTTTTTTAAGTCAAAATTATTTTTTACTTGATGTGATAATATCTAAGATATAACATTTGTTTTTAATTTATTTCCCATGACTACTTTTAAAATTGTTGTGAGTACTACCTACGAATATGCATTTCAAGTATTTAATAAATTCATTTGTGTGTAAATATTAAATATTGTAACATAAAATAAAAAAATCCTATGTAAATTATATTGCTCCTCTGCTTAATACGCCAACCACGATAATATTTTGAATGAATATTATGATCACCAATCACATATTCTGAATAAACTATAATGTTTTTATTAAGAAACCAGGTCATATCGTGTTTTGAGAATATAATTTGAAGTTTTACTCGGCACAATTACTGGTGCAGCTGTTTAAGTTAAATAATAATAAAAAAAACGTGCTACGAAAAATAATAGTTCCATACAAACTTATTTCCTTTAAGTCTAAGGACTAATTTAAAACGGAAGTCATCAACTGTCATAACTCAGTCATATGTTATTTAACATTACTCTGATAGGCCACTTAAAAAGTTAAAAATAATATTTAAGTAGGAAAACTTACGCAAATAACATGGAGAGTTCATAAAAAACGTATAATGCATTGAAAAACAATATCAAAATAAATTGATGTGTGAATAACTAGACAATTTTCATATAACAGACTTATTCAACATTTATTTCAGATTTCTTCAATGTAACACGTCATACAGTAAATATGACTAAGGTATTATATAGATTATCAAATTATTACATTAAATTTTGTCGTAAAACGAAAAACGATTAACAAAATTTTCATATTTTATTTCTTACTTTTACTAGAGTAAATTTTGAATGTTTTTGGTATCGTAGAAAAGAGCGGATCATAAAGGCCTTGGTTATAACAGAAACAGTTTATATTAGTCAAGAAACATACATAAAAATTATCCCATACCNTCGTAGAAAAGAGCGGATCATAAAGGCCTTGGTTATAACAGAAACAGTTTATATTAGTCAAGAAACATACATAAAAATTATCCAAATTAACAAAGAATGTTAGGATTGATGTCATTGACTATGTTACTTATTCGGCAACACTTGCTTCTCTTTTTTAATATAAAACAATAAAGTTTTGTGAATCATGGTAGAAATTTCAATGTTATACGTTGTAAGATTTTTATATGTAAAAACTACAATTTGTTTTTGAATAAAAAATATTACTTTCATTTTTTATAAAATTACTCCATTGTTCTGAGTATATTACTCAGAACAATGGTATATATTATACTAGCATGACCTTACACGGTTAGTAGGTTCATATTTTTTTGGTAATTTAATTCCGCCACTTTTTTTTAAATAATTTTTCAAACAAACAAGATTATGACGTAAATATGTTTAAAATATTTATGCATTTCAAATTGTACTCTATTAAAAGTCGATTTATAAGTTGATTATAGAAACTCATCAAAATTCAAAATAAGAAAATTAATATTTATGTACTTGTGCAAACACGTGGAGATTTTCAGAAAATATCTTTATTGTGACTAATTTTAAACACCATGTTTTATTTGGGATGACTGGGGTAACCTCTTGGCCTGATGTCTGTACCTGACAACCTAAATAAAAATCAAACTTAGAAATAAGCAGATTGCATTGTAAGAAAGATATGTTTATTACTCACACAGTTAAAATACGAAAAATTAACATATATTTATTGATCATTTTGTCTTTGGCTCTTTATTCATTTTACAATAGTTTCAAAGCTTTGACAATGTTTGATTAATGACCAGAATTATAAATAATTAGTCACACCATTAGGTACTAATAAAAATATTGATATGCACCACATACTTAAAAGTTAGTGTGAATCCGTAAAAAAAATTAGCTCTATCAATAAACATTTTATTTGGTCTAATTAATATTTAAAAATTATTTGTAGGGAGGGGAGGGCAAGTTGATATTCTTAAGCTTAGGGAAGAATATTCTTTAAGAGAATATTCACTACAATAACTTGGAACTTCGTAGAAACATTACTTGATATAATGAGACCAAACAGTGGTGCCGGTAATGAGAGGGCAGGGGGCGATTGCTCCCTTGATTAAAATACGAAGGGCGCAAAAGTATCATTATGTACCCCAATAAAATATATAATTTATTATGGATTTCAGATTGTGTAAGTACCCAATACTATGTTTATTGTTATTATATTATCACTAGCAAAAAAGTTCTTCTTTAGAGCAGCAACACCACGCAATACTTTTATCAATTATCTTTGTTCATATCTATTGCCGAATTATTCTTAAAGAGGAATATATTAAATTGATTAAAAAATATATATAAAATTATGTTTAAAGTACAAAATAATGATTTACCTGTTATTGAAAGTATGAACCTTCTAAACATTTAAAATTCTCAAAAACAAAACAACGATTATGTGATAGTATGTGATTTGAAAATTCCAATTGGCTTCACTATAATATACAATCAGATCAAGAATTCTGTTTTGACTATTTTATTCTGTTTTCAAGTGTTGACTGTGTAACTTATTATCTTAAGACTAAACATAATGTAGACAACTATTGATATTTAATTTTTACTGGATGGATTCAATAATTGGAAAAAGGCATTCGAAAAATTTCATGTCCATGAAAGTAGTAAAACGCACTTGACTTCTGTTAAATTTTTATTAAAACGAAATAAAAAAACTACTAATTATTTTATTAATTTCTAAACAAAAGTTAGAAGAAAAAAAATACTCTTCTATAACCTTACTAACTATAATAAGTACATTACATTACCGAAGCCAAATGGGAATTAGTATAAGAGATAATACTCGTGATAATGGTAATTGTATTGTTTTATTAGAAGAAAAATGTCATGATATATCAGTATTAAAATCATGGATACAACAAAAAAATAATTAATTGAGTTCAGGATATTCAAAATGAAATTTTAGAAATCATGTCATTGAATGTTCAGCGTCAACTATTGAATTTAATAAAAAGATCAGACTTCTTTTCCATTTTTGCTGATTCAATACATGATATTTCTGCTAATTGACTGATTTATTTTTGAATACACTATTTAGATTCAAACATTGAAGATCATGAAGCCTTTACTGGGTTTTATAATATACCTGATAGTAAAACGTTAACATTTTTCAATGCAATCAAAGATTTATTGGTTAGGTAGTTTATGTTATTTCCAGATAATTTAAGATGTCACTGTTTTGATTGCACAGTCATCATGTAAGGTAGATTTAATGGTATAAAAAAATTAATTAAAAATAATATACTAAAAAGTATACTGCAATGTACTTAATAGTACATTGCAGTAATCATTATTTTAGCATTACATGAAGTTACTAAAAAAAATAGTTTTATTTGTGATAGTTTTACTATGGTTAAGGATGTATCAAATTCTATTCTTGAATCGATTAAAAGAAAAAAAAATATGAAAATATTAGAACCATGTTTTCAAGCATACAATCTAAGTAATAAAAAACAAGATCTTGTTCCATTTAGTCTAACTAATTGGTCTATTAGAATGAAAAGGTCGAAAAGATTTTATGAAAATGATCAAAAGATTCAATAAACATTAAGTGAAATACTTAATAGAAATATATATATATATATATAGCAGATGAAAGGAAGAATTTACTCAAAGGGTATTTGAAAAAATTAAATAAATTAAAAACAGTGTTTTTTTTAATTATATCAATAAATATTTTTGGTTCATTAGAACAATTTGCAAAAATGTTACAGGATCCCAAGTTTTGTGCATCTGATTCAATAATATGTGAAAATTTATTAAAAGAAACACTTTTATCTTTCAGAATTAATGAATTTTTTTGAAAAAATGTTTGATTTAACAAAATTAAATTCAAATAAATATGATTTAGAATCAATATAAGATACAAAACGTGTCAATAAAATACCTAAACGATTTCAGCATAAAAATAGTACTTCTGTATTTAAAACCAAAATGCACATTAAAAAAAGATATGTTTGAAGTAATTGACTACTTGAGAAATGAAATTGATTAAAGATTTAATCATGAAGGCTTAAAAAACTAGGCTAAGTTGAAGATCATATTATTAGATCTAAGTACGTTAAAATCACACTAAGAGATTTTAAATAATTTATATAATGAGAATGAAAATTTTGATATAGTTAAACACCAAGCACAATTAGTTATGTTTTTATCAGTTGTACCAATTGATTCTAGTATTTCAGATAAAATAAGTAATTTACAAAATAATTATTTAAATATTAATGTAACTTTATTTTCTGAAGTTACCAAACTCATTAAATTAATATTGATTATACCAGCAACTGCTCAACGCTTCTATTCTGTACTGGGAAGATTTAAAACTTATTTAAGATCAACCATATCTCCAAAAATATTAACACATACGATGATTTTACATTTTCATAAATCTATAACATTTATAATTAATTTAGATGTCAAAGCTCAAGAATTTATATCTAGAACGCCAGAGTGAAAATCTATTTTTGGGTATATTCTCAAAAAAACAAAACTGACTAATAATATTCAAATTTTTATAATATTTATTTTTTATTTTCAATGCTGAATTTTAATGTTATTTATTTTTAAAAGTTTAACTGTTATAGTTTTTTTCATAAATACATTGTATTTTAAATGTAAATGATGTTTGTTTTATGTTTTAAGAATTTTATTACTAACATAAAATTTCAATTAAATTTTCAACAAAAATTAAATTTTTTTTTTTAGAATTTCATTTATATATTTCTAAAGTTTAAGTTATTCTGCTAAAAAAGTTTAATATTACATGTCCCATAAATTGAACTAAACAGTCTTTAAAGTTAATTGCAAGGTAATTTTTTTTTATTTATTATAATATATAAAAAAAAATTGTAATTAATCTATAAACTATATTTTATTTTATTATCAATACTTATTAATAATATAATAAAAATAATATGTATAATTATGAGTAAAACTTATAAATTTCAAGATTTTTTTTATGATCACTAAAAAACACCAAAAAAAATAGGTTATTCCATTTTTTTAGCGTGGTAACAATCAAGGATCGAGTTTTGGTCATTAAATTTTTGCCGCCCCATGTAAAAATAGTTCCGGCGCCCTTGCAAACCAAATGTAAAAAGCTGAATAATAATTGTTTGTTATTTTAAGAATTATTTATTAATTAGAAAAAAATTCAAATTTGTCATTTAGCCCTACGTTAAGGCAAGATGATTTTTTAATAAGAAAATTGACTTAGCAAGTAACCTTTACTTGAAAAAATTAATTTTATATGCATTCAAAATGAAGTTACCTTCTTCCCCCTTAAAAAACTTTTAGATGCATTAAACTAATTTTCATTTGGTCTACTAAGCAATTTAAAAAAAACCTGATGACTCCTTTAGGTATGTACCTGGATAACACTAGGTTTATTTTTTACCGTAACTAAACCATTCAACTAATTATTTTTATTCAAAAATCCCCTCTAGTACTCTCCTGATTTGAATAAGACTTAAAATTACAAATTATTTTTATTTTTTATGTATTTCTTTAACTATTATAATAAAAAAAATGTATTTATTTATTTTTACAGCATAAAATATCAATATTATATCGTTTTTGCAAAAAAGTAGTGCGATTTAAAGAAAACATATGTGGTTCATTTTAATTATTTTAGAAAAAATGTATCATTATTTGGTTAATATATTTTTAAATGCGTCCAAAAATAGTTTGCAAGCATTGCTTTATTTTTTTTACACATAAAAAGATAATATAGCCTTAATTACCCTTAACAATAAACAAAATTGTAATTTCAAAAAATGTACAATATTTAATTTCAAAACTATACTTAATTAATAACTCTATCACATTGATTATCAGTTGTATCAGAATGTTATTTTTTGTGTTGATTAGACACATGTAACTTTGTTAGTAAAATATTATTTTTGCAACGTTAATTTAAATTCAATCGATTTCTTCTTGTTTGACAAGAATCAATTAGAATAAACCAATAAAATGTTTATTAAATAATTTCAAGTCTAACTATTGTTTAATTGGGATGGTATACATAAACATAATTTTGGTCATATTGATTTTTGAATATGAGCATATGTATTAAATTAGTTGTTTTGCGGGTTTGTTATTAATAGCTCTTAACACTCAACTTACGCAGACTCAAAATTGTGTGCTTTAATAATATACTGATATTTTCATTATTCTATTGATTAATATTGACGTACACAATGTTTGGTTTGAATAATCGAAATACAATAATTAATTGATTGGAGTGTTTCAGCGAACATGAGCGAGACGTGTGTGCATCGAATGTTAATCTGTGACTATTAGTTATTATGTTAAGCACGATTTATGAAAAAAATATATATATATATATTTTTCCGTTGATTTAGAAATGTTGTGAAAGAACAGAATATACAATATTTCCCCAATAAAAGAGCATAAATTACGATTTGAATCTCGTCCAGAGCGACTCGATGCACATGCAACAGAAATATTAATTTATTGCAACCATCTTGTCACTACTAATGAGTATCATCGATAGCCGTCTAGAGCGCAATGAACCATTTAAAATCAATAAAACTTTTTAGTACTTAATTATGAAACGTTGACTACTGAACACAGATATAGCACTTGCGATAAAAAACGACGAACATAAAAATAGTAAAGAAATAAAACTATTAAAAACACCTATTGGACTTTAATTGCATTTGCGTCAACAAACCGTACAACTACCGTGCAATAAAACGGCCAACAATATGGATACTATAAAACGAATAGAAGAAACGTGATGATTGCAATACAATTGGTTGTGTTGATTTTGAAGCAATAAAAAAGTACCACGCGGCCGACGTTATAAACCAGTCTTGAACAAAGATATCTTCAAATTGGGTTTGTTTGAATTTTCATTCATGACATTTTGCTCTCGTAGGAAACTATTGGAGCCCATTAAAACCGGATTCAATTATACATGGTCGTACCTAATAATAAAATAAATACAATTACAATAATATCCATTATCTGCGGAAGTCCCACAGGACAGCCTCCTCCCTCCTGTCGATCTGACATGACCACAAACGACAGAGGCTCGCCAAATGGTTCTGTTGCTTGTTCTCAGTCGTGAACGGTAACTCGACGCGTGCTCCGCAGTACGTGAATGTGCGGTCGCCTGTGTTTGTGTGCGGTGCGATCGAATAGGTCGCCGCTTCCGTGCAGCGTTTCCCGCGACATCCGCACAACAACCGGTTGTGATCAATACATAAGTTCTTTTTATTTATATTTTCTATTTTCGCTTTGAATTTTTTATTAGCCTTTTCAGACGTATCGATCGTTCGTCAAACTCTGGCAGTGTTAGCGTTGGACAAGACGAGTTGGTTTCGCTTTGAGCGCAACGGCACACGACAGAAATGTAATCGCACGAGGTATTTACAAGTCATCATATTTAAGTACATAATAATTACTGTCTTGTAATCATTTGATTTCATACACTGCGTTTCGTAATGAGCTTCTCGACACCTTAAAATAAAACATAAACTCTATCAAAAACTTATAACAATATGTGTGTTATTATTCTTAAATACAGATTTTATCGATTCACTTTAATAAATCATTTCGGCGGTAAAACATAACAACAAATAGATACTTTCGGTTTGTTGACTGGTCACAATGATCATAAATCGTATAAACACCAAATTAACTCTACAAAATGAAACCGATGACAGTTAAAAGTAAAATATCACAACGATGAATAACCTATCATTTTTTCCGCTTGTATATCCTTAAACGTACCATTATGTAGACATATTTTTTAATTTTGACAAGTTAAAAATGCAGGCACATTTTTGATAACCTAATATTAGTGTGGCGATTTTGCTAATAATACTTTTAAATCCGCAACGTCTCGGAACACGTTACTTTGTGAATTTTAATGTAGATTTATTTTTTGCTAATTCTTACTAGACTTAGTAATTATTCATACTTGAATCATGGAAAAATAGTCTGACAGGTGTGAATGATAAATGATCGACTCCGTGCCAATTTAATTACACTACGGCCCATAGGATTAATTTCACGTTTTATAAAATATATTGTACACTATAATTAAGAAATTCCACTTTGTCTCTTGTTCCTTATAATTCTTTTTTTTATAATTTATAATTTCGGTTTTTAAATAACGTAGGTAGGTGCTCAAAAATTGTGCCCGATGATATATGAATCATGTAAACGAGTTTATACTTTTCAACAGCTTTTATTTTATCATCAATTGCTGGTTATTATTATTACTTTTTATTTCACTCTCAACGCACTTTGACGTCATAGAGCCACCTGTTCAATACCGTTTTACCAGTATCAATTATGTCATGGGTGACAAAAAAATGTTATATTTTTACCTAACAAATGTGAACACTGTATACATTCGAAGTAGGAAAAAGTAGAGAAAATAACAAAACTTAATGTTAAGATTGTATAAAATTTAAAGTTTCCTCAGAAAATCACTCGCTTTAGCTATTCGTAGGTTGTCTGTTCTTAATTTTTTATGTTAAATTACCCGTAGAAAACGCGATTGGTCCAAGTCGATCTAACAAATAACTACTGTAGTCCTTTGTGAACATCTTGCGAAATTTGCATTTAAATTGTAAGCACTCCAATCTTATTTGGATAAACACATGGCGACAGAGACTGGGAATGTGTAAATATACATTATAAACTGTTTACGTGTTGGATTCAATCGTTAATATCTCGAGTTTATAATTAATTACTGCGCAAAGCATTACAACTGATAACCGAATACCATAATATTAATACAATTATCTCATTGACATTGTTTTAATTTTTATTTACAAGTTAACTATAACAAAGACTACGTTCGAAGATAATTGAAATTAAAAAAATTAAAAAATAGTAAGACAACAGGAAATTTATAAATATTTCAAACGAAATAAGGTAGATAAGTTGATGAGGATGAACATTGCGAAAGTTTCGCGATTTTTATGTTATTAACATTTAAATGACATATCATGTATAAAATATACACATCAAATAGATATAAAAAAAAAAATACTTATTTAAATGAGTATTTCAAATTATGTAAAAATTTTACTGCAATAAAATTTGTTTCCTGTGTACAGGAAAAAAAATCGTAATCTTTAATTAATAGAATATTTTTAGTTTATTGAGAAACAACAATGATTAAAGTCGCTTTTAAAAATTATTTTACTCGATAATACGTGTTTATGACTTTATTTTTAAACACGATAGTTTTTATAGTTAAGCAATAACGTTTTTTTATCTAAAATTAATTCATCAAGTAGATATTTTTTACTATTTCTTAGTTGTGCTCCCTGGAGCGCCTTGTAAACAATTTGCAGCACGCGATTTTCCCATGCACTGCACTTCGCACTAATTACACGTTAAAGCAGTAAAACATTGCGATGATGACAGAATTAATGCGAGAGTTTGTTTGTTTATCAGCGGGGGATACTGTTTATATATAAAAAATACTCGTTCGTAATATCACAGTGCATCTTATGGCGGATCATAGAGTTTTTTTTTTTTAATTCAAAACCAACACACGCACTAATGACGAGATGGCTAAGTAGGAGAACGTTAGTAAAATTACCTATTCATCTCTTCAGCGACACATAATGTGGTGTCATATATATATATATTGTTCTATATATACATGTCAATATTGTTAATGATTCAAATGTTTGCGCAAATATACATTGTATTTGCCACAGTTTATTTCAAATATTAGTTGATGCATTACAATATTACTGAACGAAGTTCTCAGATATGACATTAGAAAAGAGCGAGTAACATAAACTAAATATATCTTCTTTGATTGTGTTTCGTTTCTTTGGATCGAACATGCAAATTTTTACCTGCGATTGAGTAAGTTGATTTGACTTATTTGTGTATCAAACGTTTTTCCCAACCTTAAGCCAAGCGTGGTCGTTTGTCGATGGTAATCTCGATTTACTGTCTCTATTTGTCTGTTGTCATTGCTGGAATAACAGATAAATCTGAAGACTCACCACACCAAAATACATTTTGCCTTCCAACAGGCCGCTGTTGTTGCAATTTTTAAGCCACCTCGTGAGACCGAGTTCACTGATAAAGATTTCATGTACAGTGTATGATAAATCCTTAACTTCAATATCATTTATTGCGAACGGACAAGCAATTATTCACATTTTGATAAATTAAGATGAAACGTGTATCGCAATGGTCAAAAGTTTGGTGTCTTCACGTCCATTAAGTTTCTCGACAGGAATGAATGGTTAGTTTTGATTAATTTCTCAATGTTGCAAGCGAAAAAATTGAATGATCGTCCAGTTTGTTAATGAACAGTATCGTCATGTAAACGCAGTTGCGGAAATGACACAATTATATTGATATCGACCGGGTGCTGTGACGACGGAGACCTTGAACCGACCCCACGTACATTTTACTATTACTACAAAATATTGTTGAATTCATTTATGTAATTGGTAAATAATAATAAGCCGATTTGGCGTTACTTTTAAACGTCATATTGTCATGAGTCGCAATTTTTCTATTGTACCGGTTTATTTGATTTTACTTGATTGTTCGTTCTCTTTATGCGTTGTGAAAATATAGAGCTCTGTCGACCGCGACTCGCAGATGTGGTACAACAACAGCCGAATAATAATAATAGTAATAGTAATAATGAGCGCGTATATGAGTTGAAAGTGCGCACATTATAAGGTTGTTCCATTGGCAACGTTGCACAATATAGATCACACGGTCATTTATACGACGACGGTCCCATTTATTAAATGGCGGCTGCGGCGGTTGTAATAAAAAAAAAAAATACGAAAGTCGCGTCGTATTTATCAAAATGTCAATTAAACGATAAGGAATATTATTATCGATCGTAGTCTCTTCTCTAACGTATCACGTCCACGACCACCTTCGGTAGGACTACTGTCTCCTCTTTAAAATCATTCTACGTACCAAAACGCGCAACATAATTTTCCATTAAAAAATACCTGACGCCATTGCGAAGCTTGAGGCCAGAGTGTTATAGTATTACTTAAGATCAACGCCAATCAAACGCCGTTCCCGTCCGTCTCATAAAAAATAATGACACGTCTGAGCGCGTCGCGTACAACTTGGCACATCGTCTCGATTACCAGTAAAAAACTTTCAGAAAACATACTGAATTAATACCGGTATCACATTCTCGGACTTGCAATTATTGCATTTTAAACCACCTGAATATCCTACACGATCCTACAACTATGCCCACAATCTTACACGCGAATAGCTTCCGGTAAAATACTTAATCGTCAACTTTACACTCGGTCTGTTTACATTCCGATCTAGGGGCTAGAGTTATGATAAAAAGCCAATGATATAACGACGTACATGCAGCAGACCGAGACGAATAGTGCGAAAAATTGGCATGTAGTCGGTGAACTTGGACGTTTTGTCTATTAGCTAAAACATTACTCGTCACTTGCTGATCGGCCAAGTCGTACAATTACACGGGTTAAGATACATACACAGCTATTATTAAATTTCGGCGGTAACACTATCATTTTCCAGTGTTTGTGTGCAGCTCGAAGCGTTTTTCGCAGCTTCCATAATCATCTGCCCGTGTTCACAATTGCCGTGTAATTATACGGTTTTCGTTTTGCGCCACCGTTACAAATTAAATACTTCAGCAGTTTTTTTTTTTTATGATTTTTGCTACTACTACATGACTAGTTTCTCACGCAACCTATAAATGAAATAGTTTCACCCGTTGAATACTATTAGCCATTACTTGAAATTAAACGCCTATCAAGAGCTGTCAAACGAATAGTTATTCGTAGCACCATTTCAATCATTTATATGCATAATTAGTATAATTGATTTTTGAAAATAATAATTTTAAAAATATATCCACCGACAGTCACTTACGACGGGTTACCAAGTATTGCATTGTTTTTATTAGAAAATAATAGATAATTTTAAAATAAAACGTGCAATAAAAATTAATCAATATTCAAGTTGCAATTTAATTATAATTGTTTTTGATTATGTTAATTGACATGTAATTTTGATATAATTTACTGTTCATTGTCAATTATCTATTGTTTCCATAACTTGCATGATACACCTGCATGTCTGTTAGTTTTTATTTTCAAACACTGTCGTAATTATAAAATCCTCTTTTAATTAAAAATTCATACTTTCTGAACATGTCCTTTCACATTGCTGTCTTTGTTTTGTTTTACATACGGTACACGAATTCATTATTTATTGAACATCTACAACTACTAGTGTTACACGAAACTTCTATCCCGAATAGAAAAAAATTCATTAACTGCTGAGAAAATTGTCAAGGTAGTTTTAATTTCACATGGAGCACTCATTTAGATGAATAACTGTTATACGTGATCCTGTGACTGTCTATTCGAAAGCGGCAAGTCGCAAATAAAAATAACACACTTTTCGCACGATATCGTATTTCATGCATATTAATATAAACTAATCTATCTTTTCAATCTTTTTTACTTATCTTAATTACCGTTGTATGGGTGACATGTAAAATATCCTAGTTTTATAACATAACATTATAACATATAATCTACATGTATAAAAAAAATGCACTAACATCATCAAATAATTAAAATTTGTTACATTTCAAAGGAAAAAATGACTTTGACTATGTAGTGTTAATTCGAATGAATAATAGTAAAATATATTGAATTAGGATATTAATAGAGATTTTGAGCTTTACACATAATTAACAGAAAAACTGATTTGACTTTTTTTTTTTTGGACAAAGAGTGTTGACTGATTATTTTTCTAAATTACTCATTGCCAACGACAACATTTATTTTATTTGTAGTTACAGTATTTACAATAACTATTTGTGACAAGCTCCAGTACCAATTTCAAATTAATTAAATAATTATCACACACGTGTAGTGATATAACCAAAAAATTTTCTCAGCAACAGGAATAGTCTTAAAAAAAACAATTAAAATAACAAAATTACGAATATTTAATTAAACTTGAAAATTATTTGAAAAAATTAATATATATATTGAAAATGTATAATGGGAAAATAATCCTTTATTACTTGGTTGATAACAAAAATATCAAAAATTTTCTTATTTTACACAAAAATTACTATGGCTTCATAATTTTTTTTATTTTTGCATTTCTATGGCTTCTTAATATTCTATTTGTTATTCAAAGATTAAAAGTAATGGCC